TATTGTAGAATTTCCTGATTGTTGCGGTCGTACGCGGAATTGTTGTTTAAAAATTAATTATTAACTGTTTTAACAAATAGCATTAAATTCGCCCGTTATTTTCTAGCATGTTGGCGGCTTTTCTTCGGAAGACAGAGCATTTGTTTTTTTTAATTTTCGATAATCTTAGTGAAACGCGACGAGCTCTAAAAGAGTATCTCTTTGAGGAGCGCTGAAATTAGTAGACCCACTTTTGATTTGCAGCCATTAGTAAAATAAAATTTTAAAAAGATTTCGAATTTCGGTTAGAAACAACACAGACATTCAGAACTGAACGAAAAATACAGAGTTGCCGGTTATTGCCTGAAGCTTAGCTAAGAACACGTGAAAAACGGATGGTGCAACTCATTGAAGCTTAAGTCGGACTTAAATTTTAAGGTATACTTAGGTAAGGACGTGCTTAGAAGAAGTGTAGTGCAAGTGGGCATAAGATCCACGTCCTCGCTGCTCCTCTGGATGGTGTAGTAAATAGTAAAAAGAAACATTTTTATTAAAAACTGAGATATTTGCAAAAAAGTAGATCATAAGTATGGCAACAATGTTTTTTCAAAGTAGTCTGTCTAATTAACATTGCGTAAAAACCTATTGCTTCTTAATTATTTCGAACTGTAGTAACCAAGGGTAAACACAAAGCAAAGAAAGTAAAATTGACAATAACATTCTTTGAGGTTAGGATAACGTTGTCACTTTGCCCTCAGTGCTGCTACCGTTTTGAGGCACATGAGTGATACACCTAAATCCGTCACAGCTGTCAACCAAAACCACCTATTAATGGTTATTAGAAAAAATAAAATACAATTAAGTTGTTAAATTACAAGAGGTGTTCTGCCCGTTTATCTTCAAACATGTTTGTTCAAACAGCTTCTCGAATTCCGTTAATTAACTCCTGCTCAATATGTACGGGCGTTCGGAAGAAATGAGATTTATTGTCTTCTAGTGTCCTGTGTATCCTACACACATGTTAGGAAGGTATCCTGTTCCTCGGGGGAGTTGTCAGGACAATTATTTGCAGTTGCTGGAAGAAATCCGCTTAATTTTTGAATGTTTGCAAACGATCAAAAACAATCCTAAAATGATGTTTGGTACAAAAACGTACGTAATTTAAGGCCCTCTATCCGACAATATGAACTAGAACTTTGTAGCTTATCCTGATTTAAAAATTTGAGTCGATTAAAAAAGAGCTTAAATAGTTAAGTATAATAAATGATGTGTTACAGGAAAAGGCTAAAGAAGGGTTAAGGAAATATAGTACTGGCAACTATGCGAAAATTTCGACTCATGACATAAGGAATATATATTCCTTGTATCATGATCACAGAATCATGATTTCGACTGGCACGCCGGCGCAAAGCTGAACCATCATGGCGACCGTTGTTTTGTTTTGGAAATTGGTGAATTTCAGAGGGTGAAAAGTGGTGGAAATTCGTTCGAAAAATTAATAGGAAAAATGTTTTTTGTTACGAGATTTTCTATAAGGTGAGCATAGTCTATAAGGCAAAGCGGCAGTCTGAGTATCAGATCGCAAAGTCAAGAATTACCAAAATGAATATATGGCTGCAACTGTAATTTTTTACATAAAATGTCAAATATATCAAAAACTGTTAGACTTAAGCTTAGAATAGTGAGTAGTCCATAGATAAAGACGAGTATTCCTGTTATTCAACGATTTTAACGGTGTAACCTACTCTTCTAATCAATTCTACTACAAGGATCCAACACAATAATTTTTGTGTAAACACTAATCTGAAAACCAAAATTTGAATGCAGGCATGTTTAATTGTTTCTGTAATTTTGCAACGCAATTATTCGAAAACCTCACAACAAGAAGCAACAAAGTATTAACTAATGAAAGAGAATTGAACGCCCTTTAAAACGATTGTGTCACTTGACTCCCCTTCCTATTTAAGACTCTAAGGGTGACATCTACCGTAGGGGGTTGAAACAAGGAGGCTAAAGATGTTTGTTTAGAGTGTCCCCTTACAAATAAAATTGACTGGTCTTTCCGATTTTTCATATTTTCAACTGCAAGAAAGATATTAAGGCGGTGGGAAGTTTTCAAATTGACACCCTGTATGTAGATCTAAGTAATTACTTCATAATTGTTATTTTTGTAGACATTTTACAAGCAACGATACCGTAAATGAAGCTGAGATTAAACAAGTTCACAAGCTTCCCCATCCATGATGACGGTGAGACACGATGGCTGTCTTTGGGGCAAGTGGTATCAAGACTATTAGAGCAGTGGTCGGCTCAACAATTATTTTTCAATGAAAAATATCTTGACCAGCGTCTTTAGGCTACAGAACAAGTGTACAAAAGCCTGAGTATAAAGTTAATGCACTTATATCACTTAATGAAAATTAATTTAAGATCCTTGAACGAATTTTACAGAAGCTTTCCATGATCTTGAATCATTAGCGACTGAACTAGCTTAAATTCGAGACAAGCTCTGTGAAGAGGCAATAGAAAAAGCGAAGTCTCTTTGTGAAAAATGGGATATTGATACAACAATACGTGTAAATGCCCGGAGAATTGGCTGAAAATGTTGGTCTTTCCGCAGAAAGTGAAATTTCTCACGTTATGAAGAAGCGTTCTTGATCGTCTCCAACAAGAAATATGTTCACGATTAACACCATTAAGTGACCTTTATTTCAAAATAGGATTTCTCCTAAACGTTGAAACTTTATTGATTGATAACGAATTTTATAATACAGCTCTTCATGGATTATAACTCATTATCGAAATATGTGACTGATGCAAAATGTTAATACGCTTTGCTAGCTGCGAACGTTCATTCAGCAAATTAAAATTAATTTTGACAAATCTACGATCAACGATGGGACAAGGTAGCCTAAGTGATCTAGCATTTTGAAGTGTGGAAAGATAAAAAATTTAAATTATTAACTTTGATGATATTATTGACAAATTTGCTTTAACAAAAGCAAGGAAAATTTAGAAATGTTTTATTAATGTATTATAATCATATTATTATTAAATATATGTATCTCCTTAGAAGTAATAAATATTTGCTATTTACTGTTTTAAAACTGCGTGTTTTTTTAGACTAAAAAAAGTTCTAAAAACGTATATGTATTGTGCCTTGGGCGCGAGTTTATTTCCCTACGCCACTTTGTATCGGTAGCCTATTTGCGTATTTTAAAAATAATTTTCTGGGAACACGCTTTCTGTTTCTGTTTTGTTAATTTTTCGAATTGAAATTGTTTATTATGTATTGTGCTAAGCGACGGAAAATTATTTTTTTGAACTTCCTTTTCTGGGTTAGATAATAATTTTGCAAAATACAATTTATTCAAAGCAAAATTATGTTACAAAGCAAGTACCTACGTCGAATTTGAAACGGCACATGGAATGCAAATCCCACAATATCAATAAATTCTGAAGATTTTCGCGAAGAGTAGCTACCTATTTTGACTCAAATAAAGTTTTTTTCTGATTAAAAATTGTAATCAATTATAGCTTGTTCACAAAGAATTAAGATCTACTTTATTAAACGCTATTCGTTCTGTGTAAAACAATAGTTTTTTGTTCCTATTTTAATTTTTTTCCCGAATGTTTTTAGAACTTTTGGAGTACCTAGGTTTGCAAAATGGGTAGCCAATTGCTAGTTGCAGAGGCCGTTATTTTTTAGTGTCTATAAAATCATTTGTACTTTAAGTATAAAATAGTATTTGTTATATACCTAAATAAAGTTTTTTATTTTAAAAATACGATTTACAAATGTTCTAAAATTGTTTCTGCAAGTGACGCACCATTGCCCATCACCTTAAGACGCGGCTATATCACAAAAACGGCAACCGCAAGAGAAATCAGATTGACAGTTAAAAATAAATCACATTCACAGTTATAACAGTGATTTTAAAATCACGGTTTAGCTCATCTAGCCGATATTATAAACATCACACCGAAGGCTTCATTGCGCGAGCGCGAAATTTAATCGCTTAGCTTACCGTCGTGATTGGCACGCATTTTAAACCACTAGTCTTGTAAGTCTCTTTCTATGCCACTCGTCATATCATAGTGAGATAGTGAGTAGTCTGTGCCACTAGTAGTGAACTAGTAGTTGATAATCTGTCGTGTCTTATCGCAGGATTAAGATTATCTTATCGCGACGCCGCTGACGAACCATGCATTTTATGCATTCGATGCGCTAAGTTTAATATATTCTAAATGTAACAGAGGAAAAATAGTCAAGTTGGAGATAATGTATTAAACGATAATCTTGTAAATATTTGCCATGTTGAGTTCACCGTTTGCATAGACCCACTTTCCAGTGTTTAAAACTTTTCGATGTGTGCGATTCTGAACATTTTAATGACGTTGCAAGAGGTTTAAAACCACTGACCGGTCAGGATAAAAATCACATTGATTATTTCTTCACATACAACTATTATCATCAAACTTGAAATGTGATAACACAATTTCGAAGCTCAAAGTGCATAAAGTGGAGACCTAACCTTAACAGTTTGCAAGTATTGTGAAAAGTGGGGCTTTTTAGTTCGAATGTGCCATTGAATCCTGATGTTTAGTCAACGATTATTTCTTCAGGATTTAATTCCAGGTATGGGATATATGAATTTCATTGAAAAATAAGATAAAACATCAGTGTAGGTAGAATATTTTCTTTTTCACCGAAACTGTTTTGGATAGTCACGTGTCTCAATCAATTTGGAGATAACCACGCAATGCTCAGTCCCTTGATACAATGAATACAAGGTAGGATCTTGCGTCGATTTGCGTGACGTCAGTGGAAATCACTGCCTAGCGTGCTCTTTTCCTGTCTGCTAAATGTGATTAAATATAGCTTATTTAGTCTTTGTCACATTTAATTATTTTTTTAGAAATCCTCCTTATAATTACAAGATGCTTTGCAGCAGATTTTAGACTTGAAAATTAAAAGTAACGAAAATGTATTTATTTTGCAGACTAGCACAGTTGCCAGTTGT